AAGGAGGATGCTCGTAAAGCTAATGGAGGTAAAGGTCATGACAAACAAAGAGGTAGAAGGCTGAAGCTTAGCTTCAAGGAACTTCTAGCTAAATATGAGAAGATAGCAAAAACAAATATCACCAATTGATCAAAGAAAATCCAATTATCAAAATTACCTCCAAAGCACAAGTCTCGAGAGTGGAATTGGCAAGGAGATAGATCTCACGTAGCAGCAACATATTCTCCTTTTGAGCAGCCAATTACCATGTCATATGGACCACAGCCCGTATATTTTCATCATTATTCATCTTGGGGCTGGTTTGATCAAGAGGCACATGTTTCACCATATTTTAGGCCATAATATATAGAGTATGTAGTTCCTAGACATTCAGAGAGATCATTATCTTGTAAAGACCATTTTGATAAAAACCGGTCTAGACCTCAACCAAAGAAGAAAGCGGTAAAGCATGTTTACCGCGTAAAGTATGATGGCCGAAAGAAGAAAAGTTCAGATCTGAATTTAACAATCGAAAAGCCGATTACATTGCTGAAAAATCTGGCTATTGATGGCAAAGAAGTGAGAAAATCATCTATTAATATTCTAGGTGCCAAATCTGAACAAAAGAAGGTGAGAGTGCCCAAAATCAAGAAAGATTTGCTGCTGTTCAAAACAGAAATAAAACCGATATGCTCAATCGATTTACTAAAGTGGTAAGAAAATAAGTTACAGAAGCTTAGTGTAGAGAAGCTAAAAGAAAAAGGTTTGGCATGGGTGCTTAAACGAAGAATTCAATCTCAAAAGAATGATGCTCAAGCAAGTGGTGCAACAAAAACAAAGGAGAGGAGATTCAAGAAACAATTGCCAAGTTGGAGGTTTGCACCAAATCATCAAAATCATTGGTCATGGCATCATCCATACTCTCTACCTATGCCTATGTGGAATTCATCCCCTGGCATGCATGGTTATCCCTCAGCTCCTTATTTTGATCCTTAGTGTGGATCTTTATGTTATAGAGTGTTGCCAAATTATTTTACTTACCAATGATCGAGAGTCGAAATATTTTATTTCGGCTATGCATATTTATGTGGATGAATTCATATGGTCGATATTTTGATATCGCTCTTAGTGTAAAATATAGTCGATGAATGCTTGCAACCATCGTGCTATTAGAAAGCCCCCATGGAATTTACTTTGATGGCCTTAAGGCCCGGGGGCATGATATATGCATTTTGACTTACTCCATGGATGTGAAAATATAATTAGTCGGCTTGCAAATAAGGTCAAGGTGTTGGCATAATCATTATTTCTCACAATGGTGCTATTGGAGACATCAAGCCGATTAAAATTATATCTGCACCAACATTTGAGCCGAATGTGAAGTTTTCTTATTCGGCTTGGCCATATTGCAATCCATGGGGTATAACATGTTTAAGCCTATGGTGATTCCTTGCTGGTGGTACAACAAGTTGCTAGTGAATTTCAATGTTTAGAAGGGTCACTAAGAACTTGTCTTGATGCTTGCCTTGATATTATTGACTATTTTGCTGAATTTTGAATTCGGTATATTCCGAGGCATGAAAATCAAAAGGCCAACATGTTAGCTTAACAAGCATCTGGCTATGATGTTAGTGGACATAATTTCCATATTCAAGAACAGCCGATGCATGAAGATTTCAATTTTTCCTGTGTAGGTATAGACCAATTGGCTAAGCCGACTGATCAAGTTGGCTCAGCCGACTACTCTTCTGTTGTGGCCAAGTTGGCTAAGACGACTGCCCTAGTCGGCTAAGTCGACACCTCCAAATCGGCTAAGTCTACCGGCCCTGTTGGCTCAGCCGACTCCCCTGTGACCAGCCCAGTCAATTCGCCCGAGAAGCTATCAAATCGGCCCGATATAACTTCTAGTGATATTGGGGCTGATTTAAAAGATTGGAGGACTCTCTTGTTGAGATATCAACGTGATCCAAGTGCCAAAATTGATAAAAGTGTTCGACGGAGCGTTTTCAAATATGTATTGCATAATGATGAGCTCTATCAAAGAACCACCGAAGATTTGCTGCTTAAGTGCTTGGGATCAGATCAGGCAAAAGTGGCTATGGGAGAAGTCCATGAAGGCATTTGTGGTATGCATCAATCAGCCCCAAAGATGAAGTGGTTACTATGTGGAGCCAGTTTCTATTGGCCTACTATGATGGCCGATTGTTTTCGCTACTATAAAGGTTGCGAAGAGTGCCAGAAGTTAGAAAATATTCAGCTTGTGCCTGCTATTGTGCTTCATCCTATCATCAAACCATGGCCTTTTCGTGGTTGGGGGCTAGACTTCATTGGCCAAATATATCCCCCATCTTCGAAGGGACACCGATTTATGTTAGTTGCTATGGATTACTTTACTAAGTGGACTGAGGGAGTTCCTTTGAAGAATATGACACACAAGGAAGTAATTGAGTTCATCACTGAGCATATTATTCATAGATTCGGCATCCCTCAAATGTTAACTACAGATCAAGGGACATCATTTGTGTCCAAAAGAGGTGAGGGAATTTGCCGAATTATATAAGATCAAGTTGCTCAATTCATCTCTATACTATGCTCAAGCCAATGACCAAGCTGAGTCTAGTAATAAGACTTTGATCAAGTTCATCAAAAACAAAATTGAGAAGAATCCAAGGAGATGGCATGAAGTTTGTCTGAGGCTCTATGGGCACATCACATTTCAAGGCATGGTGCTACAAATGTTACTCCTTTTGAGTTAGTATATGGTCAAGAAGCCGTGTTGCCTATCGAAGTGAATTTGAATGCATACAGGCTCGCTAAACAAAATGATTTATCAGCTGTTGTGTATCATGATTTGATGATGGATAACATCGATGAGGTGACTAATGTGAGATTAAAGGCTCTCAAGGAAATAGAGAAAGATAAAGCTCGAGTTACCAAAGCATACAACAAGAAAGTCAGGAGCAAATCCTTCCAAGTGGGAGAATTGGTGTGGAAAACCATACTACCAATTGGATCGAAGAGCAATCAGTTTGGCAAGTAGTCACTGAATTGGGAAGGTCCTTACAAAGTGGTCAAAGTTATATTCGGAAATTCATATGTGCTAGAGACATTGCAAGGTGAACGTCTCACGAGAGCATTCAACGGGTGGTACTTGAAAGGGTACTTTCCAAGTGTTTGGCAAGAAGCCTAAGTGCTCTCCAAACAATGGCCGATACATGTATCGCCCTTAGAAAAATGGCCAATGTATACATCGCCCTTAGTCACTAAGCAGCCGATAAGATGGGTATCATCTATGTTTGGTTTTGAATAAGTGTTTTCAGGTTCATGCATCATTCACCTGAAAACAGGGGGGCATATGTTGACAACCAAAAATGTCCATTTTGTGAAGTTGTCAAAATGTGAAATAGACTTCACCATTGCGTTCCTCTCGTCGAGATGGTCAAAAAACATATATGGAACGTCTAATTCGAAGTCCGGATGAAGAAGTTATGCCCTCGGAAAGATGCCTCGTTGTCGGGAGTTCCGACCCAAATCGGGACTTCCGACTGTCGGAAGTTTTGACGGGTGTTGGGACTTCCGGGAAGCCTAAAGAAATCTGCTCAGGTGTCTGGGGTTATCCCTACGTCAGGAGTTCCGACAAAAGTCAGAAGTTTCGACTGTCGGGAGTTCCGACCCAAGTCGGGACTTCCGACATACCTAACAGAAAATCCTGTTCGGATCTGGCCTTTTGGATTTCGATCCGAACTGTTCCAAACTCGTGGGAAACTTAGAAAATAAGGTTTGGAGATGTTTTCTACTAGGATAAGACCACCTCCTCTATATATATGAGAGGATCATGGCCGATTGAGTTCCCATCTATCCAATCGTCGAACAAATCAATCTACTACCTCTACTCCAACCCTTTTGCCCTCTTCTCCAACCCCCATGCTGTTCATCCCTTGATCCGACGATCAAGGATGGCGTCCTAGGCTTGTCGTCCGACCTAGGGCAACCCAACGATGTTCTTGCCCTTACGGGGTCTCTCCCAGGCGAGAGCTTCGACGGTTTCTTTGCTAGTTTGCCTAAAAACTAGCCGGTTCTTCGTCACGTAAGCACGTTGGTTATCCTTTGGTGGTTTGCTTGTAAACCTCTTCGTTGTTCACCACGAAAGAGTGACATCCTCGCTGTATTCTTCGGTCTGTAGCGGCCCGGGCGTCCAATGCCCTATTGTTGTTTGATTCGGATCACTTCCGATGTCAACAGCTGGCTTGCAGTCGGCCCGGCTCGTTACCATGAGCCTGCGCTCCCATAGGTCTCAGGTCCAGTGGAGCTACAACACATAAGGCCATGAGCCTTCTCAACCCAAAAGACTAGCCTTATAGGTGGGGGTTCTCCCGTCTTATATGTTGTGCTCCCCCACCATCGCTACACGATGTGGGACTAAACCTCAATAATCTCTCCCTTAGGCGCAACACGATGTGGGACTAAACCCCAATAATCTCCCCCTTAGGCACACATTGGGGTACCCCCGCCATATATGTAACACTCGAGATTTTTTATCGGGTTTAGCTTTTCTAACCATGGGCTCTGATACCAATTGTTGAAATTGGTTGTGACCACCGAGTTCTCGATCTTAGAGCTGGCTTGCAGCTGGCCCGGCTCATTATCATGAGCCTACACTCCCACAGATCCTAGGTCCAGTGGAGCTACAACACATAGGCCATGGGCTTTCTCAACCCAAAAGACTAGCTTGATAGGTGGGGGTTCTCCCGCTTTATATGTTGTGCCCCCCACCATCGCTACACAATGTGGGACTAAACCCCAACAATCTCCCCCTTAGTCACACATCGGGGTGCCCCCGCCATATATGTGACGCTCGAGATTTTTTTTATCAGGTTTAGCTTTTCTGACCATGGGCTTTGATATCAATTGTTGGAACCAGTGGTGACCCCGAGTTCTCGATCTTAAAGCTGGCTTACAGCCGGCCGGGCATCCGCCATGAAGCCTCCTCGCCGTGGACGACGGTGGCGCCATCAACGAACTCATCGTGGACGCAGGATCTCCTTGCCGCGACCCGACGGCGGAGGAGCATCGGAGTCGCCGAAGGAGGCCTTCGAGTCGGTGAAGTGCAGCCTGTTCTCCCCCACCCCCGAAGAGCCGACAAAGGGTTCAATGTCGGGGTCAAGTGAGCTCGCTCTGAGCACGCAGGCGGCGTGGGCAGCTGCGGCCAAAGGGGGAAGCTCCAGAAGTGCAGATCTGGCGGCACTCCGAGCAGCCTCATCCTCCTCGACCTTGTCGGCCCACGAGCGACGGGAGTAGGACCCATGGTCCATGCACGTGTGTGGACGGCGCGACCAGAGAGGTCGACGGCGTTGAAGGTGGCCGGCGGGGCTGGGGTGGCCACCGGCGGGGAGGGGTGCTCACGCGAGCTTGAGCCCCAACTGCACCGACAGCTCGGCCTGCACACGCTGCAGATAAATATGTTGTTCTATGTTAGAAATACAGCCATCATGTATACATGAGTTTTGTGGGAGACTTGAAATCTAAAAGTTTAGCCATTCTTGTGTACCAGCCTGGAAGGTGAAACAAATAATTCTAAAGTAAGACTACAGCCATACAAATCGTCCTGACATGAACTTTCTCAGAGTTCCCTAAATGAAGCAACACCAAGAGGTAGTAATCCAAATATTTATTTTCCTAACCGTGTCTCTCTAGAACTAAATGATGTAAGGGATACATGAGGAACCACCAGCGACTGGAAGCAGCGAATTAAGGAAGCAAAACACAAATCATTTGAAGCCAAACAGAAGATCTGATTATACCCTAAAATAAAAGGCTAATAGAGAAGAAATAGAAACATGGCATTCTATTTCTCTTACTACAGCTCGGTTGGCAATGCCCCTTAATTGTAGTGGGAGAAGAAGAAAGCTAGACTGTTGTGTATAGATGCGACAAATGTGAACCATGCTATACCTTTTGCAGCGAGTTCATGGGGAAGCAATGCAGCGAGGCAAGAATCAACCTAACCTGTAATAATCAGGAACATGTGTGCAATTCTTTTGACGAATCCAGCAGCAAAGAACATAGAAACAGAGCTTCCTAAAGAACAGGTTATAAAAATCGCAAAAAAAAAAAAAACAATAACGCCTAGTAGTGACAGGCAGAAGCATCAATCCAACGAAGAATAGCAGCAGTACACACAATTCTCAAATCAGCTAAGTTTGTTCTCAGCTAAAGTGCCTATCCAACTCTGAAGTCATCACCACAAAATAAATATCTACCAGGCTGAAGTTTGCCTTAATAGTCGGATTTCATCAAAGTTTTGGCTTCTTTCCACATTTTTTACGCATAGTAGAAAGGACCATGCTTACGTTAGCATCTGCGCTAAGACATAAAGAAATTTTGTAGCACAATCCTAGGCAGTATGTTAGGCTGGAAAAAAAAGGACACTGAAAAGATAACTGACCATTCTGACTGAATCTTAAGGCAGTATGTAACAAAATGCAGACTGGAATAACAATTGTACTTCTGAATGCACATTGGAATAGCAATTGTACTTTTGGAATGCACTCTGGTTTTATATGAATTTGCTGGACTGCTTATATTACTCATAATAAAACATTGATCACTGGATGATGCCTGTAATTATATGAACCTATCCAACATTGGTAAACAGATCCGCATGGCTGAAATTATATGAACCTATGTAGTCCCACGGTATTTTTTTTCATTTTCTTATGGACACGAATGTTCAGATACGTAGAAATCGGTACTGACCCAATATAATTTTCTGACTTCTCCAATTCCTTTTTCAATTCAGCAACCTCTGCTTGCAGCACTTTTTGAACCGTGCACAGCCACATTGAAGCAAATAGGTTAATCGGGACTCATAAAAGTATAATACACTTGACATCATTAGTCAGCAACAAATCAGAGTTCGTGTATTCATTGACAGTGGCCTCATAGGTATGGTATAACAGTACCTTGGCACCTTTTCAGACATGCCGCTACTAACCAGATATGTGAGTTTTTTCCCAGGTTTTTTTTTGTAAAACATGTATTGACACATGCCAGCATGCCAATGAGCGACCAATGCTTCAAATTGGGAACGATTCATGCGACGGTCCGCATAACTGAGTAACGAAAGATAGTATGGTCGGTCTTCTGTGCCTGTATCAACTACCAAGGCGTTTTGAAAAACGCCTCCAATACTACAGGTTATTAAAGGCATTTGAAAAACGCCTCCAACTCAATAGGTATTTAAAGGCATTTTTTATATCTGCCTCTGTAAAACTGGTTTTAAAGGCCTTTCGTAAGAATGCCTTTAAGTAAAAGGAAATTAAGGCAATTTTATAAAAATGTCTTTAACAAAACGTCTTTAATTAAGAGACGTGTTGTAGTGTCGGTTTTCATTGCCAAAAGGGCTCCCTGAAATTTTGCTTTCCAAGCCATCCCCGGCCCGCCGTATTTACTATTTCTTAATAATGTTCTTAATTGGTATATTCAAAGTTTCCGCTTGTCCGCTACGACCTTGAGGTTGGCATGGAGTGGCTATTCAATGATCTACACCTAAGGTTAGTATGGCCCTAATTAGATCTATGAAATAACAACACCCTACGCCCTCCACCCCCAATTTTATCGATCACTACTCTTGGGCTACTGGTGTTGTCGCAGCAGGAACATGAATACATGAATGATGCACCGTTGATTAGTAGAGTTGTGGTACTTCTCCTGGAAGCTACACAAGTTGTGATATGATACCTTATTCATTGTGATTACTGGAGCAGCTGGCCGGGTTCTTGCAACATGTCTGAATCTGAACATTGACAAGCAAGGAGCTAGGAGCAACCAGAGTACAAGTGTTTGAACTGTACTTGTGTTATCTGAAGATACTAGGTGGAGGCTGGTTGGCTTCAGATTGACGCATTGATGCTCAACGTCGAGGACTTGCCACTGCCATAGGAAGATATAGGATCCCAGCGGTCACAGCTCGCGGACAACGGGGCAAGCCCAAACTCATGGAGAGAGAATATTATTAGAAACCTACATCTTGATTGGGCTAGTCAATTGGTAAGTGGGTTGGTGTACTTAACCTATCCCGGCCCGGTTATATATATATATATATATATATATATATATATATATATATATATATATATATATATATATATATATATATATATATATATATATATATATATATATATCCCCGTTAAAGCGAAGCAAACCTTCATTATGCGAATTCGGCCACATCACCCTGAAATCGGAGACCCTATCCACGTCGCCCACAAAACCTCAGCCACAAGTTCGCACGGAAAGCTCGTGGCCAGCATCGACCCACGTCGTCCCCATTCGCAAAAAAAACACGCAGCTCTCCCCCTCCTCATCGGTCAAAAAAACAACGAAAACAGACGACTCCCCCACCCCCATCTCTCTCTCGGTCTCTCGAGAGTGGCGGGAGGGGCGACGCCCGGACAAAGTGCACCGGCGTCCCCCTCCCCTCTGTTCTCCGTGCGGGTAAGTCCGCACTGCTCCTCCTCTACACAGCGCCGCCTCGCTTCCCTTCCTCTCTCCCTCTCTAAAAGCCCTAATTTGATTTTGGATAATTGATGAAACCTATGCACTGACCTTTGGCATGAGTTGTGATATGAGCTAGGTTGGTGCAATCCAAGTTGTGAAGCATGGTGGAACTCAAATCGTGATGTTGATTACATGAAATGATGAGATGGCCACATGTGATGATGATCAAGTGCTCAACCTGAAAAAGAAGAAAGAGAAAAAAAAACCTATGGAGATCAAGGCAAATGTATAATTAGGGATTTTATTTCGGTGATCAAAACACTATAGAGAGTGTGATCATGTTTATGATAGATGGTCGTACTATTAAGAGAGGTTCTTAGCTAGACAATTTGGTCATCTAGTGCGACTAGGTGTTAGACTTCATGCATTGCATTTAGGCCTAGTGCACAATCGGTGAGAAAATGATTAACCTTTGAAAAATGATTGTGAAAATGCTAACACACTTGCACGTGATGGTGAAACACTTGTAGTGTTAGCACATTTGCAAAGGTGAAGAAAAACGGATGTAGTGGGGCTCGGGGTGCTACCACAGGGGCGCCGCCCTGCCCTATCCGGTGCACCGCCACCCCTGTTGTCGACAGAATATCGTCGGCAGTCCTCCGAGGAGTATCCCACAAAGGTAGATTGATCGGCAGATATGCGTGTAATCGAGAACAAGAAGACAACAGAGACACACGAGTTAGACAGGTTCAGGTCGTCAGTATGACGTAATACCCTACTCCTGTGATCTGTTGGATTGTATTGGCTATCGTATGATATTGCGTGTGTTTGGAGGGGGTCCCTACCCGCCTTATATAGTCTGGAGGGCAGGGTTACAAGTCGGTTAGATCTAAGAGATAACCGAAAAGTAATAACAGATTATAGGAATCATGGGATCATACGTATCCTAACAGATCTCGTAGTATCTTCAGGATATCTTCCCGGTGTCTTACGGGAGGCGCCGAGCAGCGTCGTGCCCCGCAAGGCTTCGTCTTGTGGGCTGGGCCGCCCCTAGGGGTGCAGCCCATGTGGTCTGCCATGGGTATCCGGGGTTGTACCCCCACAGCTAGTCCCCAAACGCCTTGCATCCGTTGTGCAACACCGTCTTGAGCTTGTCCGAGCAGGTGCGAACAAAGCCGAGCAGTCAAACTCATGGTCCGACCACCATGATGAGTTGCCGAGTAGTTGTGAACCATCGCCGAGCAGTGTGAACCGTCGTCGAGCAGTGTGAACCATCGTCGAGCAGCGTGAACCGTTGCCGAGCAGTGTGAACCGTCGCCGAGCAGTGTATCCCAAGTTAGGCTTGCCATAAGGATGTAAGGAGCTCAAGTTCAAAATCAAAAATTTTCTCACAGTGGACCAAAATGTGCCCACTTAGAGTCCGACCACAAGAAAGAGAAATAGTCTTCTTCAGCTTCGGGAGGCGCAGAGTCTTCTAGATTAAAGCAAACACACCGCGAGGTGAAGTGTGCCCACTTAGTCCCCGAGCCTGACAGTAGGTGACGTAGTCACATGGTGCTAGGGTCCAAAGTAAAGAAAAGCACAAGATGAGCCGAGCAGGCAGCCTGTCCCCAGGTGTAACCCTAAAATGAGAAAAACACATTCACCATAAGGTGAAGTGTGTCCACTTAGTCCTCAAGCCTGATAGTAGGTGACGTGGTCACGTGGTGCTAGGGTCAGAAACAGTCAATTGAAGAAAGTCCCCAATGCGGTGAGGACCCAAGTCGTATTGATGATGCAGTCCCCGAGCCACAAGTGGAAATCTTGGAGAAAA